TATAGAAAAATGTTTAATATATTTTTTGTAGAGAATTTTACGACACATCTTTTAAGAAAACAACAAAGTTTAGGGGATAAAATCCAATTAAGATATGAGCAAAATACTAAGTGACCGATTTATTCTGGAACACCCGTTAGATTGCAAAACAATGTGTCACATTTGATTAAGAGTCGATGCAAAGGACGGGAAACGGTTTCTGCTGGAAAATGGCCCAAGATGATTTGAGTGAAAATGATCGCAAATGCTTCCTGTTTTAATTACAAATATTTCTGACCTTTAAAAATTCCTTCTAATCCCCTTGAAAACATTTATCATATCATTTTTTGTGGCCATTTCAACAAATACCAAATAAATGTTTCCCAAAATTTTTCGTCTGAAGTCAAAGTCCTTGACCGACTTTGACGGATCTTTCTTCCTAGCAATGGAAACAAGTCTAATATTTTCGTTCATGCGAGTTGCAGATAATAACTCAATATAGTCTTCTGATATGATAGTAGAAAAAACAAAAATTGTATGACGAGTAGTCAGTTAGGAAATAATTAGAAATATTAAGATTTTGGTACATACGGACGGAATAAATAAGCTTTTCAAAAATATGTCCATATAGGACAATTGCCGAAATACTCGACGGATATCATGATTTTCACCTATCTTAGTGTTTTAAAGGAATATTTCTTGAATTCATCTACTCACACCCAGAATGTTTTTTATATAGAAAGGTAGAAAATTTTTACAATATTTTGTTTTAAAAGTTTGTCCTCATAGATTTATTGGCTAAATACTGGATAGATATCTCGATTGTTGCCAATAAGTCTATTAAACTTAAGATTTGAAACAACGGACTATTTTTATATTTATTTATTACTTATTTATAAATAAGTTATAGTCCGTTATTTCAAGCCTTAAGTTTAATAGACTTATTAGGAGCTTTGTGTAAATATAATACAGCTTGATGAAAAAATGTTGTGGAGAGCTCGGAGACGTCTTATTTTCCTCAGAAATGTTTACTTTATCTAACTAAACTATTAACACAAAACTACCGACGGAAGCTAGGATACTTGAAAGTAGGCCTCTGGATTACCCACAAATCCTGGTTTTTAAACGTTTTGAGAAACTTTTGTATACACCTGAGTATTCTTTTAGATGTTGTGGTTGACAAAAAAGGTCAAAAAAAGAAAAAGCTCAAACTTTTGTCACGTACTTTAAGCAACAATCAGCATGCTTGTATAGTATTTACTGTAGAAATGTATGAAGGCATACGTTTACAAGAATTTAATGTATTTCAGTTTGAAGCTTGTTATTTCCTGCATTTTCTTGTATGAAAGCCATTCCAGGCTTCCCTATACTTACATCACTGTACTTCATTCACTGTCCTGCCACAGGTTAAACCCATTTATCCGTTCAGTATTTTGCCAATAAGTCTATTAAACTTAAGGTTTGAAACAACGGACTATAACTTATTTTGTAGTCCTTTCAATTCTGGATTTTTCTAACTATAAACTATTCCTAATTCTATTTGTGAAAGAAACTGTGATTATTTTTATATATCACTATGGGAAAATATTATTTGGTATTTGTTGAAATATATGATAAATGTTTTCAAGGGGATTAGAAGCAATTTTTAAAAGTCAGAAGTATCTGGAATTAAAACAGGAAGCATTTGCAATCATTTTCACTCAAATCATATTGGGCCATTTTCCAGCAGAAACCGTCTGCCATCCTTTTTCCCTCAAAACGACATCATAATTCAGATTACGATTTACATTTCGGTACAAAGCATATAAAAATTATGTATTTCATTCTGTAGATTGCTATGTGGCTCGGCTAATTTTACGTCTACGAAATAAGCAGAGATGGCTAAATTTAATTGTTTTGGTCTACTGAAGAAGTCGCATTTAAATGTATTTTGTAGAGGAATCATAATTTTAATCTTTGAATCAATCTGTCTGATCAACTTATAGTTGATACACATAATTTCTGACTTCAAGTTTTCTCCCTAGTAATGGGAACAAGTCTGATATTTTTGTTCATGCGAGTTGCAGATAATAACTCAATATAGTCTTCTGATATGATAGTAGAAAAAAACAAAAATTGTATGACGAGTAGTCAGTTAGGAAATAATTAGAAATATTAAGATTTTGGTACATATTACTTCTTTTTCTCTTCTAATAGCAACCAAGCGTAATAGGTTGAGAAATCAAGTATACCATGACGAATCGTCTCATTCGCTACAGTTACTATCAATCTATTCATCTATTTAAAATTCGTCCATCTTTGATGAGTGAACAGTAATTAGCTAAGTAAAATGACAAAACAAATTTTTATTATGATGTGCAATTTGTACGAAATGAACAAAAGAAAAAAATAATTTAGTTATGTGTGTAAAATGTTCAATTTTAATCGAATGCATTTGTGTTGTCGTTATTATTATATGAAGAATATTCTTCTGAATGTTCATAAGGCGAATCTTGAAAACTATTCAATGCGTAATAAGGATGAGTTGTTGAAAAATAAGAAGGACAAACAGATGATGCTGGTGATGATGATATTGAAATACCGGAATCATTTAATGATGAATTAATCGACTGATGATGACGATAATAGGCTGGTGATATTGGTGGAATCGGAGAGGATTGTATTGGATCAGAATCATTCATTGGAGATGATCGAACCATTGTATAATGATACATATTAGTAGGATAAGGTGGTGGAGAAAAAGAAGTATTATACGGTGGAGGAGGGGGAGATGTTAACATAGATGACGGTTGAAAATTAAGGTGAGAATAATACGGAGATTGTGTTGATGTCGATAGTCGAGCTTGTTGTTGCTGACGCTGGAGTAATTGCTGATGTTGCCATTGGCGAATTTGCTGTCGTTGTCGAGGACGTCTAAATCGACCTTGTTCAAAGTCAGATTCAGCTAAAGGATGAATTCGCCAATAATGACCTTTCCCATTATATCCTCGACTAGCTTTCATGAAACAATCGTTCAAACTTAAATTATGACGAACACTATTTTTCCAAGATTTATTCACATTTTCAGCAAAATATGGTGATCTAATGAGAAAAAAACAAATAGATCGTACATCGGATAATATAAGATTGTTATTACTTACTTTCTTTGAAAGTATGCATATATTTCATATAACTGCATCATTCTATTCGGTGCTTGCAAAATAGCTTCGGCTATTATTTCCAAATACGATTGATTTGGTTTTCGTGCCGCATCGATTTTTGGATGACTCTCTAGAAAGAAAATTGAAATATGAAACTGTTACTTCATAAATCCTTCTACTACCATAATACAAGCATAGAAGAAAGTACCATTTTCATTAATATACCTGAATGATAGCTATTTTCTTTCTCCATATCACCCGTATTATCATCTTCGTCATCTGCTTTAATGAAGTATTTATTGTCATGTGTTTCGCATAGTCCTATATAAAGTAAGAAAAAGATTAGCTTATAGACCATCGTTTGTCAATTATATAGCAGCTTTCACAGCATTATTTTAGAAAATATTTGTAATAATATTTCACTTCACCTTTACTTGACTGGGGAACAAAATTATTTAACGGTTAATTGAATTTAAACAATTAGATGTGTCAAAAGATCAAACAGAGGGCTTGTTTACACTTATCCAGTGTTTTTAAACAAGAGAACGATGAGTATTTAAAACATTCTTCAATAAAATGCTTTTATACAGCTGCAGTTGTTTGCAAACATTGACGTAAACGGTGTGATAATATCAACAAGAACGCAAATGCATAATTAACCTTCTGTAGTACATATGATCCTTAATCTACTAACACTGTTAGAAAACCAAGTAAAAGATACTATTTCTTATAATGTCAAACCATTTTACTTACTATTATTTGGATATGGATAAGAAGACATATTGATCCACTGATGATCGAGTACTAGAAATCGGTAAAAAAAAAATTGTTAGAAAATTTTAGTAGAAAGTAAAACTTCCTGATAAGATCAAAATACTGTTAATCCGTTGATGCTGATCTTGATCGTTTAAAAAAGAACTCTTGTAAAAATACAATAAAAACTTCTTTTCGCTTCTTATATCAAAGTGGTCATGTATAATATAATGATCGGTAATATCTTAGGACGAACGAACTCAATCGCTCTCTTTAAGTAGCTGTTTATCTATTTTTCTCTATATTTTCTTCTTTTCATTAGCCAATAGGAGAAGAAACACTATTTTGATTTAATAACAGCCAATGAAACGAAAGGAAAAAATTAAAGAAAATCTTAATTTGCTCAAATTTTTGTTATTCTAAAAGTGGCACAACTAATAAAGTGAATCTCATTAAACGTCTTTCTTGCGAAAGTACGGCAAACAGTGAAAAATTTTTTTTCGATTATTTCAAAAAGAATCGAGAAGAAGGTATCTGTCAAGATCTTTTGTTTTTCTCCAACAAAATATTTTCTTAAAATATATGAAACCCCAAGATTCGTTCCAAAGATGATTTGGCCCCCACACTGTTCTGAAAGTTGAAATACGCTCCTAAACTTCACCAAGTATTTCAAAGAAGGTTGAATATGCCGTGAAAGAATCTCAGTGAGAAACTCCGTTATTATTATATCACCAATTAGGCTCACTAACATGGGCAAGAGATAAACCAATTTCATTTCAAAATTAATTATAAAATAGTAACTATATAATGGATTTAAATTTGTTCATGGTTTCGCTGCCAATTTAGAAAAAGAAAGTTTGATTATGAAAGAAATGAAGACATTGTGTGTGAATAAACAGCCCGATAACTTGAAGAATCGGATTAACTTTCATTTCTATAACGAAAACATAGATACGCGACGAGAAAGGTAACATAGTGATTAAATGTCGCATCATGAAAAAGTTAATTGCAAGCAGAAAACAAGGACAAGGATTTTTTAGAGAACGGAATTAGGGCTGAAAAGAGAACGGTTGCCTATTTATGGTCAAATTTGGACTGATTAGAGAACGGTCAGAATTATGGAACGAAAAAACCGAAAAGAGAACGGAACTAGTGCTGAAAAGAGAACGGTTCAGAATTATGAGTTCAAAAGACTGAAAAGAGAACGGTCATACGTTCGAATAGTGAATTATTATCTATATATATATCTTGCATAACCTTGAAAAAAAGTATTATACAAAAAAATACAAATAGATATGATATTTCAAAAAAGTAGAGCAAAACCAGATTTTTTTGGTCTACCACGTTTTTTTGGTCCTAAAGGCATACGATCTTTTGAGATTACATGACAGCCAAAAGCAATTGCAAGTCCAACTGTATGTTTACAGACGTATTCTTTGCAATTGCTCTCTTGTATAGCTTGCAGCTGGATATCACATGATGGAAATTTCTTGTATGAAGCACACGGATATGTATATTTGTTACCATTGGTACTTGATTCACTTCGAAATCTAGATACTTCATTTTCTGATATTAATTCATTAAGTTCAGTTTGCGTATTACAAATTCGCAGTGGTAGCCATTGTCTGCGCATCATTTTGTTTAGAATATGGTTCTGTTACTGTTTACGTATCGATGTGTAAATATGAAGAAGCGTGCGTATGAAAAATTCTACTTTAGAAACTGTACACATATAGCGAAAAAATATCTCTCACAACCGTTCTCTAAACGGTGTAAAAATTTAATAATTCGCACTCCGTTCTCCATTCAGTCCAAACTCCGTTCTCTTTTCATACTTTTTCCATTCTCTTGTTTCATAGTGATTACAAGCGCTTCTATATCAATTAATATAGTTCGCTAATCAACTTTCAGTACATGATACAAATTGAGAAATCAATGCAACCTAAGTTATGGAAACAATATTCAAAGAAAAGGATTAAGAGAATCCATATTATTTTCCGATCGAGAAGGATCTGAGTGTTACATAACGCTAGAAGAACATTTGCTCGCCTTGACATACAGTTATTCACTACATAACTACTTAATTGTATTGTTACTAATTTAAGGGCAGTTCTCACATGAAGTGAAGTCATTTTGAGATCTTCTTAGTAATACTATCTTTATTTACTTTAGATGATACATCATCTATGTGTTTTAACTGGCGATATTTATGATTTTGTAAAACTTACACAGCTTACTCATAGAATCAATAATTAAAAGTTTCAGATTTCTTATTTTTAATGTATTGATAAGGTGTTTTATATTTGCATGTGATGAAAACAGCAGAATTATAACAGAGAAGGAAGAAAACAGATTATTAAATAGAAAATTACTGTGCGGTTATTTCTCACACATCATTTGTGAGTCATAATTTAATATGACTTACTGTAAAGCTTTTCTTTGTTGTTATTCTTGTGGATTATTCTCCCTCTTCTCTCTCATGATACATATATATGTATATAAGAGAGAGAGAGAAAGAGAGCGTATCTATGGTTTGTAGATTTTAATATTATTTTTAGACATACCCAATTTTTTTCCTGTTCCTTTTTTTTAATGAGTTTATTATCATCGTTTGCTTTCTCTTTCTCTCTCTATGATCTACTCTATGTACATGATTGTCAACTGAGGGCTCTATTTTGTACATAAATAGTTGCCTATAATGAGTAACAGTTACCAAAGAAAAGTATATATCGAGTATTAGTAGAGAAAAGAGAGAAAGAGGAAAAAAAAGCAAATTTTCTGTACGACGACAGAAAACGTTTGAATATTAGCATATTTATTTATTTTTCTTTATCTTCTAAATGAACAGAGATAAAATAAATAAAGTTAGATCTGAGTAACATTGAGTATGATCTATTAACTGTTGCTACTTGTGTAACATAGTATTTGAAAAAAATATCACAATAATAACGATTTTTTCATTCATTCGATTGCATGTTTCGCTTATTATATATGTGAAGTAATTGACCTTTCTTCTTTATTTTTTTTTATTTAAAAATAAAATACGACCAAAAAAATGACTATTTTTTACTTTTAACAGATGCTTAAAAATATGTTCGATTATTGTCCGAAAATTTTGTTAATATTAGCTGTTATATTCAATTTAAATTTAAATTTTGGTAAGTGAATTTCTTTATTCATTTTTTAAAAATTAAAAAACTCTTTATCAATTAACGAAATAAATTTCCTGAGAGTAATTATTTTTTAACTGTAACATTTCAAAATATAGAAACATGAACACGAATATGTTTTGTGATCAATATTGAATAGTTATTTTAAATTTAAAAAAACGAACAAAATAACTCTATTCCAGATTAAAGAATAGTACAAAGAGCAATATCTAAATTTTCAAGAGTACTCCATTCAAATTTAACCACATGATTACTGCTTATGACCTCGATAGTTTTTCTTCGTTTTTTTGTGTAATACAGTCATTTACCACCTAGATAATTTCTTATTATTTTGGTTTGTTCGATCGTGCGGAAAATAATATTCACTTGCAAAAAGTTTTTATCTGCGGCTTTTTGTCTGTGTATAAAGAAACAGCAGTTCTGTTTTATAACACAAAAATAGACTAAGACAAGAACGGAACAGAACAGAAGAGAACACTCTTTGCAGTCACTAACCTCGATTAGTTTAAATCCTTTACATCTAGCAGCTGATCGTGCAAAAACGAACATGAAACTGTCAGAACTCTGTTTACACTCGAAGAAAACAAAATTTCTTATAAACAATAACTGACTTATAATGACAACTGACGTTAGAAAAAAAGTCTATTTTTAGATTCGATGCATCATTATCTTGTTATAGCGATTCTACGATCTCTTACTAATGTCCACGTCTGTGGACATCCGAGGATAAAGGGTTAATTTGACCGTTCTCCTCCCATAGTTCTAATATAATCAATGATTTATAAACGTGATTGTATGATATATTGAATTTATGAATTGACTTTAGTTTTTTGAAAAGGATCTTGGTTACCGGTTTTTTTCTCTCTAAAATATTCTGTTTTTCGATCTCTATTTCTAAGTTTGCACCCTTTTCAACGATGTGTTGAAAATAAAAAGTATTCGGTAATCCAACGCATAGAATCTTCATTATTTAACCTTGTAAAGTAGTGCCTGGTGATATTTTTGTTTATCATTGATCAAAATATTTTCTATTATACATATATCAATAACCATCAGAATAAATTGATGTATTGAGTTGTCAAAAGCAGTTGTTCTCCTTCTTATTACATAAGATTACGTAAAATGGCTTTATACATTTGATCTGTTAATATTTTGTTGGTTTAAACAAAGGATTATTTAAATCTAATTGACTGAATAGAGATTATAATAATAGTTTAGTCAAGAGGATATTTAAAATAAGGGCGTAAAAAAAATCTTCTAGAATATAAAAAATGTACGACATAAGCACACACTTGTCCGTGGAACATTTATAAAAAATAATCATTCTCTTTTATATTTAGCTCAAGCTGATTTTGATTTACAAAATTTGTTTAGCAAAGCAATAAAGACTGATAATGATCGACAAGATTTAGCATCGATTGAACAACGTTTACCAACATTTCTTGATTTTGAAAGTAAGTCAATGTTTTAGATGAAAAGAATGAATTATGTCGTGTCAATATATCAAAAAAAAAAAAAGTAAAATAAAATATAAAATTATTTTTTCAATGTTATTTAATTTAAAAAAAAGAATCAGATGTTTAGTTGTATGATCGAAGAATAGACGGTGCCATAGAATAAAATAAATCTGTCATATCGTGATAAAGAGGGAGAGAGAGAGAAAAAGAAAGCGAAAAAAATGTGAATGTGTACATATTTTATGTAATATAAATTAAACTTTATCTAAACATATTCTATATGAAGCTTTGATGAGGAAATACAACTAGTGCAGGGATATAATCTGCCGCAATTTTTCTATTTATAATGATTCTAAGCTCCGAGATCATACAAGTTTTCTCGTGGGCGTGTATAATTATACGAAATAGTCACGAAACAAAAGATTAACTTTTCACGTATTCTAATCACTTCTACATGTGTTGACATTATTTTTATATTAAACATTATTGAATTCGAAGAGCCATTAGTCACTTTTTGATCCAAATTTAATTATTTGAGATGAGAGAAAAACAAAAAATAGTATAAAAATTTAAAATTTGATTTAGCATGTAAACTTGACATAAAAATCTAATGTTGGATAAATCGACTCAGACTTAAATGCACATATCAAAATCTGATATCTAAAAACGTAAAAAGCAAAAAAATACTGTAGATCTCACGTTTTATGTCAAGCTATTATATTGATAAAAGAAATCTTTCTAATATTTAGATAAATTTACTTTCAAATTTTTCTTTAATTGTTGAACTTTTTATTTCAGTACCATCTCATGAAAATATTTCAAAGTATGTAATACTAGAAAATGATCGAATATGATGTTTTAACATAAAATATTCTCATATTTAGTGTATTTTCTAAATTTAAAAATCTTACTCTACCGATCGATATTCGAAAAGATACAGCATTGACACCAACCAATGCTCATCATATATTTACTAGTATACAATCAATATGGCCCTATATAAAGGTATAATCACAAATAACAGTTATTGAACTGATGATGATTCTATATTCTAATTATATTTTTGTAGGATAATGCCTGGCAATCAATATTGAAAGTTTTAAATTTACCGCAAATTTTAGCTAGTCTTCCACCTAGTATTATATCAGACAAAATTTTAGATAAATTATTAGGGTTATCAAGCGAAGATGATGTTACAAAAATAATAGAGTCTAACAGAAATCGTCATGTAATAATTAAAACATATATGGAATGTAAAGTTTTATTCAAATAATATTATTTCAGGGATACAATGAAGAACAAAAAAGTACATTTGTTCGAAATTATATTTCTAAAATAAAAAATAAATTAAATCCAACAAATTTTCGTCAATTAATAACGGAAAAACTTGGCCTAGGATTTCTGAAGTATTTACCATTGGATTTTCTGTTAAAAAATAATATATTCAATAATAACAATGTTTTACGTGATGTGTAAGAAAAATAAATGATATTTTATTTTATTTTATTTTATAATTATATTTTTTAATTTTATTTATATAGGGCGGCTAATTTACCTTTAATGTCATCATTACAAAAAGATGCAATAGCCACAAAAGTTTATCGTGCATTAACAGCAGATTCAACATCTAATCTTGCAACAGATGGTGCTCCATTGAAACTTGAATCACCTGAATCAATGGGTATTCTAGCCGGTGTATTACCAAGCTTATCTCCACGACAAGTGATCAAAGCTGTTGGCAATAACGTTGTAAGCAAATAAGAACGCATTAATCTACACTATCATGCTCTGAGTATGACGATTTATTTTCTTAGATTCCCTTGCTGGCTACTCAGCAGGTACGATCAGATGTGTCCTGTGCAACTGCTATGGGTCTATTGAATCGTACCATAGAAGCAAAGAGAAATAATCGTGTATTTAAACCAGAGGCAAAGTAAGTAATTCATTTACTGTGAGAATTCTCACTAAAAGTATCTATCTCATACGCTTTTCTAGATATTTACAACGTTGGCAAGAATGTTATTCTGGCTGTGATCTTAATAATTTTCTAAATAATAAAGATGATATTAAAGAATTATTGAAAAATCATCCAAATCCAGAAGGATGTGAAGGCTTAGTTAATGAAGTAAAAAAAGAATTTGATTTAGAAAATAGATTAACAGGTCCAAAACTCAAAAGTGTCTCAGGTATTCTAATAAAAAGTTCTTCAGTCACTAGACCATCAGCTCAATTCAATTTAGATGTTTTTGGATCCTTGTATCGACCTGACGAAATTAGTGACCTATCCGATAACTTGATGGCTGAATTAGGAAAAGATCAGGCAGTTATTGAAAAACTTGGTCAACAAGATTTGGATCCACATGAGGTAAAGTTGAAGTCTCTATTCATTATTTATTGTAAATTATTCTATTTCTGTAGGCTCGTACAATAATAAATAAAATTCCACGTCGTGTACAAGAAAATTGGGATAAAGGTATCCTAGGTAAATTAGGCAATTTACTTCCCGGCTTAGATGAAAATATATTGAACTTATTACTTCAAAAACGTGGTGATTTACCACCGTTATTCTCGGAACAAATGAAACCGTTTATAACGAAATTAGTTCCATCAAGAATTCGTCGTCTAATTGATAAGGTAGAATACGTTTTTATTGTTTCATACAATATTATAAAACTTAAATTATTTATTTAGTATGCAACAGAAGGAAACATTCAAACTTATAAAAAATTATTAACTTCTAACTATGCAAAAAAATTTATTTCGTCAGCTACACTAATGAAAATATTAAATCAAGCCCCTGATGTTGTTCGTTTTCTTCGATTTACACCGGCACAGGTTCGACTTATTAAATTATAGGAAATGATTAAGCAAATGTAGAAGAAAAAATTGACCTCAATGTTGTTGTCATATTATTTATTGTTCAGATATATTTTACAGGAGAAATGGAGATTTAGAATAAGTGAAAATTTTTCTAGGAAAATTAAAATCATGATCTCTTCTAGGAGGAATTAAAATTGACACCCTCAAAATTGATTGTAAAAATTTGAAGATTTAAGCTTTAAACTACTTCAGTATTTCGAAATGCGGAAAATGTTTATAAATATCAGGAGAGCATATCGATCAGTGACTGTGAGTGAGAAAAACTGAGGGTGATGCGCAACTACTAGTGTTTTGCAAGCTGTACGGCGAAAACAACAGTGAAGTAGAAAATTGATGAGGAAAAGAGTGAGATGCAAGTCGTAATAAGATCCATAGGATGAAACATGTGAATGTCAAAATTATGGAGATTATTGTGTGGAAGTGAAAATTGTGAAATAAAATTCGTGGTATAAAAATCGTAAACTAACTAACTGTGAAGAAAAGACATAGAAATTGATATGTACACAAGAAAATATGAGGAAAAAATCCATGAATATAGAAGCCCTTCACCTCTTTGTTTGGTTCACATATCTCATGTATAAACACATAAGTTAAACATAAGTTTAGAACTCTTTCCGCTACCATTTTTCTCTCTCTTTGATAAACACGTTTTCTCTCAAATTATTAAAACTTAATAAGGCAGTAGTCGCAGCTAAGAAAGATACTGAGAATCACTATCTGAGTCTGATTAGATGAATGTAAAATTTTGAAGAGAAACCTTAAGCTAATAAAAACGTGAACAATACCAGTAAAACTAAAAGAAGGAAGTATTTGTCGGTAACATGAAGTTTTTTCTCCTCACAATCACAGATCGATATGCTCTCCTGACATTTATAAACACTTTTCGCATTTCAAAGTACTGAAGTGTGTAGTTTAAAGCTTCAATCTTCAAGTTTTTGCAATTTTAAGGGTGTTCATTTTAACTGCTCCTAGACAAGATTATGATTTTGATTTTCCTAGAAAAACTTTCACTTGACTCTTAAACTAACTCATTTTTTTAGTCTGCTGGAGTGATACAAAATCGGCTGGGTAGCACATCAAATTTTGATGGTAGTCTCGGCTCCTTATCACAAATTGGAAATCTTCTTAACGGTTTGACGAAGAGTGACGTAGAAAAAATAAAACCGGACGATTCTCTGCTAGCTATTCGATCGGTATTCGGCTCTAAAGAAAATATAAATGTTGACAATGCTATGCAATCGGGAACAGTAAGTTAATAAACGATATTAAATATTGGAATATTGGAATGGGTTGTCTTTGTAGCGTTATGCATTTGGAAATGTTTTACAAAAAGGTCTAAAAAGTCGGGAACATAGTGACGATCCAGATCAATATATTCAAGGTTTATTTCGCGAAGATGATCTAGTTGAAGAGCTTAATCCACAAATATTTGCTACAATGACAAATGCTGAATTAGACGCTGTCAATCGTTTAAAACCTGAACAAGGCGATCAGTTTTGGAAAACTATTGGTAACATTAATGAACCTGTTTGTTGTTCATTTGTACCAGAAAATCGTGTACGACTTGCTAATTATGCTCTTAGCCATTATGTAAGTTTGTTTTTTCAGAATAAATGTATACCTGATATCTGTATACTTAATTCTTTTCTTCTAGGGTTCGAATACTGGTGATATAGATGTCTTTAGACTCTCACAACTGGGACCATTTTTAACATCGAGCCTAAGTGCAAAAGATCTCCGACGTATAACGACCGATGGATTAATTAACAAACTTGCTTACTTTAAATCGCCATGTTTTCAACCATCAAAAGAGCAAGCCCAAGCACTTGGTTCACGTTTAAAGTATGTGGTAGTAAAAGTGTGGATCTTAAATGAATAACTGACGTTATATCTGTTTTCAGTGATGCTTTAAGTGAAGTCGATGACTCTTTAAAACCAATGTATCTTGATTTAATAGGCGAATTAGCTGTATATTTACCTAATGATATAGCAAGTTCAAAGGTAAGTTGTCTTTTTATCAGTATCTTATGTCTTAATGAAACTTTTTCTCGGAAATTCTAGAAAATACTAGCAGGAAGAGCTAATTTCCTTTCTAAATCAATAGATAAATTGAATGTACGTGATGAACGATGTAAATTACCTGATACCGATGGATTTTTATCTAAAGCCAAGAGTAGCATGAAGAAGAATTTGGTTAATGCTTTTATTAATCATTTGTCAAATCGTCAAAGAAGACAAACGAATCTGGGTAAGTTTATCTTTTCAAAGTAATCATTCTTATACTGTAGTTCATATCATAAATATTTGGCACATTACAGATAAGACAAGTTTATCATGTGAAAATTTGCGAAAAATTGGCTCAGCTGTCTCCGCATTATCACCTCAACAAATTGACAGTATAACAGCTGATGAATTATATCGATGTATCGATCTATTGGGTGCACAAACAGATTATGAGTCAGACAATATTAACAGAATAGCTCAAAAATACATTCAAGTAAGTATAATAAGAATAGATATAACAGTTGAAAATTGAGACAAGATTTTTAAATATAGGCACTGACTGCCAAAAATCGTCATATACAATCCTTAAATCAAAATGAAATATACAATTTGGGAGAAATTTTAACTGGCTTCTCGCCGTCACAATTGAACATGTTGAAAAATCAACATTTCAAAGATGCAAATATTTTATCAACTGTTGGAAATTTACAAAATTGGAATGCTGAACAAGTAACATTAATTTTCTTTAATTCTAAATATATATGAGCAAAATATTGTATTTTTAGCTCAACGTATTGGCACGTCTTGCTACTGATGATGGGTCAAGATTACCACAAAGTTTGCTCGAAAATGGTGGAAAAATTCTCTGCGGTATATTCTATTTCGATTAAATAAATCATAATGAAAAATTCTCTTAATTCTCTTATTTACTTTTAGGAATTAATGATGACTTACTTCGCCGAATACAAGCAGAAGATGTCAAGTATGTTACTCAACTATTTCACTCTATTAGTATTCATTCACGAATAATTTTATCTTATAGATCATATTTAGTCATATTAGCCAATATTGATTGTCCTACTGGTACTAATTATTCAAATGTCATGTTTAATGTATCAAAAGATGCTTATAAAAATGAAATTTATCAGCCACATATCTTTGGTTCCTTGGGTACTATTGCTGGTAATTGATGATATTATTTTTGTTACGATCTATTTTGAAACTATCAAGAGTGTTTTCATTTTTCGTTTTAGCTGGTCTAAAATCGGCCGACATTTCATCTATACCGAAAAACTTATTAAATTTTCTACCAATTTCAGCTGTACAAAAATTGCCCATAGGTAAAATGAATTCTTATTTTAATTGAAAAATAAATTGTAATATAAATTATTTTCTTTTAATTTTAGATGTAATGAAACACTTTACAAGCGATCAATTAGAAGGATTAAATATCGAACAAATTAAAGCAATTCCATCAAGTGTTTTTAGTGCATTGGGAGCTGGACAATTGAAAGTTTTGAATAAAATTTTATTTCCATTCAAAACATCAGGTAATAATTGCTATTGATAATCAGAACTCTATAAAACGAAAACAATGATTTTTAGAAGACGGAATCATAATTAGTCAGAGATCAAACGGACATAGTACTGACAATAGTGGTATAAATATTCACGTTCTAACTTATTTCTATTCCTACACTTGCATGCATTTTCTGAAAATAAAAGGGAAAAAATGCATGAGATATAATTGGGATGTATCATAGAAGATTCAGTCAATTTCTATATTTTTTCTTAAATTTTGAGTATTAAACATACACACTTAGCGGGCGGGTATCTTTGATTTGCGACGCAGACATGAAACTTCTCAATAAATCCTATTTTCTTATTTAGTATTATTACTCTTGATTGGTTTTTAAGAAAAACAAAAGGAATTACTTCTAAATAATTTCTTTTCTAAAAATCGATTGAATATCAAAGGCAATGAGTTTTAATTAAATTGAATAATTTTGTTTAGATTTCAGTGTAGTTTTCTATAGAAATTTCAAATATTATAATTTTTTTGTATTTTGAATACAAAAGTATTTTGTAAGCTAAGAAATGCAGACTTCTAGAGAAAGACAAATGCTTGTCGAAAACTTTGTATCTTAAGAAACTTTTTTTATTTTGTATCAATCTAATATAGAAAATATAGAATTTTGGCAAAATTTCGACCAGTTTGACGAAGAATGAGGAAAAATATTAAATTAAATAGCTGCAACAGTACTTTATTAACTCAAAAACGATTTCTGTAGTAATTTTATTTCAAATCAAAACAATTTTTTAATTAATATCTCATTGATATATTAAAAGTGTTTTAACATATTTTTCCATTATTAGGAATATTTTGAATGAAATATTATATTATTAAAACTATTCTAAATGTAGAATAATTTCACTTTCATGTTATTTTTCCGTTAAATACATGTTTTATTACGAATTTTTTCTTCTTCTAGGTACAATCAAATTGACAAGTTCAACATTCATACTGTGGTTTTTAACATTTATATCCATTTTATTCTTATTCAACCAAAATCGAATGTAAATTAGAATTTAATATGAAATTTATTTAGAAGTACAGCAAAAATCTCTTCGTAGAAGATGAGAATTGAATGTGACGCTGTTTTGATTTTCTTCAAGACTAAAGTTTAAGTTTAAAATATTTTTACTAATCAAAATTAACTTACTTGAACGATTTGTCTTTGAACATTTTTTTTAATGTTTTTCTGTTGCTTCAGTGATACATGTTTTTTTGTTTTTGTAGAAAAAGTGTTAGATGTTATTTTTATTTTTATCTACTAGAAAAAAAACAGTGCTTCGTTATTTTTTTTCAAATAAAGTCAGACATATATTCTGATAAATATAGTACATCATCTATCATTCTCTAAATATAGAGAAAACTGTTTTAACCTTATATATTTAACTGAGTAAAATAAGAATTTTTAACAGGCTAAAATAATCTGTACAATAGGACATATTTCATTGTTAATTAATATAAGAATAGTCCGAAGCATCTTGTAGAAGAAAATGAAAAGTTCTTGACGTCTATGACAATTTAATTTAGCCCTATTCGCCACTTTCTTTTTCTTCACGAATAATATGGAGACCATCGAGTTTTTTGAGCGCTTTCAATCGTTTTTGTACTTCGGCTTGCCAATGTTCATGTTTCCCATCATTTTCCTCTAGAAATTTTTCATGTAATGGATTTCCAGTAAATACTAACTCTTGTAAAGTTTGTAATTCGGCCTAAATAGAATATTATTGAATAGATATCTAAAAAATATGTCAACAAAAAAAAAAAGAAAAGACGTACGAGTTTTTGAAATTCTCCCCATTCTTTGACCACATTATTACTCATATATAATACCTACAATATTAAAATATGTTTTTTAAAAAAAATACTAGTTATTTCACTGTTTTACGTTAATATTTACACGAAGTTTTCTCATGCCACCAATGCCTTTCAATTTTTCTATTTGATTATATGAGATCCATAATTCTTCCAATGTATCACCAACAGCTTCCTGTAAACAAAATGCTAAATAATTGATACTGAAAGATTTTTCAGACTCCTTACCAAACCAACGAGATTTTTTATTAAATTACGGCCAAGTGACAAAGTTTTCAAGTTTTCTACACGAAAAAGAAAACAAGTAAACAATAGAAACTTCTTTACAATCGATTATTTGTTACATACTTAAACCGTTTAAATTTGCTATTTTCTCAATCATATTTGTTGATAATGATAATTTTCTAAACATAAACTGTATGTGTTATGTGAAATAGGTAACTACTGAGACGGTAAAACTTACTCACAATTCACCAACGTTGAAATTGACGCATCCATTTTATCGATTGGTGGAAACTGTCCAAACAGTAAAACTTCTTTGGCTTCAGCTGCTTTCTGGCTAGTTTTCTCTTCCTTAAAATAATTTTTCTATCCAAATTTTTGCTCGATACATCTGATTATCATTTTTTCTTACCCATTTTGCCAACGCTTCTTTGGTTGTCATACTGTTTTTGGCCTGAAAACCAATTAGTATTTAATAGTAAGTAATGTTGATCGATGATGTTTGTGGAACTTACCATTTTTAGTTTCGAATTTTTTATATAAAGTAAATGCAGATGAGATTATCTATAATGTACGAAGAATAAAAGTACGTTCATTTACAAAATTCGAAAGTAAATCGACTAGTTGAAGTGAGAAAGGCTCTGAATTGCAACACAGAAGTTATACAATGCTAAAATTCTTTGAATGTATAGAGATCTGATGCAACTATCATTGGCATTTCCTTTTATGTGACGATACCTAACAACGGAAAGCGTAATCAAACAGTTTTATGTCTGGTATTGGTTTTTGGACATGTATATGTTATTCTTGACAAAAATGTTGGCTAAATCATTATAGCTATTCCTTTTCAACTATCCCGATCCACCATCAAATACCTAACCCGATCACTATCGGCACCTGTTGCGATACAGTAACGACCTCTATTACTTAAGAGTATCCCTGGCCTCTTTTAGTGCTCTTCAAAGAAATGCCTTCAAAACGAAACAAAAAATGATCAAGACTCGATATTTTTAGGATGCATTAGAAACTCTTTTCTTTTTGCTCTTGTCGTAACTCTTTAGCTTTCGCCCTTCACGAGATTCCTAGAAAACTCGGTTTTCCAGTCCGGTACATTACGGCTCCTCGAAAAACTCATCTCGAGCTGAAAATTTTATCAGAAGTCTATAACAGTATTTCCCAGGTGACACTTTTTTTGTTTCTTTTTATCTCTTTTCCTTTTCGAGTTATATGTCTTTGAAGATTGAAAAACTCGGGTTTTGCGTGGTTTGCAAGTATGTTCGCTATAACTAGGAAAGGAAAAGAGATAAAAAGAAACAAAAAAGTTGTCACTTGGAAAATGCTGTTATATATCACTGATAAAATTTTTAGCCGGATCGAATGAGTTTTTCGAGGGGTCGTAACATACCGAACTGAAACGCCAGACAAGAAAAAGGATTTTAGAAAAACAAAACAAATGTCAGTGTGTAAAAAAATAACAATTATGACAAAATAAGAGGAGCTCTATAGGTAATCGACCGTCTCGATTCTAACGGACATGTTTAGAAATCTGTGCTGTGCATGTGCAGACATATGCGACATATATTAAACGAAAAAATACGGCTTTCTATAGATAACAGACATAATTTGAAAAATGCATAGTTATACATTATTCTTAAATATTGTGCAACTTCTGGAATTTGTAAAATGTTTCATTACGAGGGTGAAACTCATCTCATAAGAACTGATGTTTCTTTGCAAAATCTTATCCGAAGATCATATAATCAGATCTCCCGATCTGAGTATACCATCTATATTTATACTCTATGCATAAAACATAGTGTGATGTACGAGGTGCACTTTGTTAGCAGCTATAAACTAAACTGTTGGCCGATACATACCCTTTAGTTTTTACATTTTTGACCGCGTTCTCTTCCATAGAATAAGAGAAAGCCCATATTGTGACATCTTATCTCAAAACTCAAACTTCTATTCTGATAAACTATATCGCAGAATAAGATTGAAACAACTTTATTTTTCGTTAACTGCTGAGAGCTAGTGAATAGTTAGATTTAGAGATAAGCAAAAAAAAAGTTTTTCAAAGGATAAAAATTTAACTAAACATTTCTTCGAGATGAGCTTGGTCTATAGTTAATAAAGTGATAAATGTTAAAGTTTCTTCGAGTTTTCCGAGTAAAAATTTATAGTTTGTTTCGAAGTTTTATAAGAAAATGGATAAATTTTTTGTTCGTCAAACTATCTAATTCTGTACTTATGGTATGTAAGTTCCATAGAAATGCAATGATTTTACAAAAAAGAAGAGAAAAACACATTTTAGTGGAACTGACGTACAATAAAATATGGCAATAGGCAGCAATAAGGAGCCCAAAAACCATGTTCCGTCACATCACTAGCAACATTTGTAGACAAAAAAATTGAATATTGGGATTATTGAAACTAAAACTGTGCTTTTGATCTATTTTGTTTGTAGTGATCGACTTATATGCTTTTGTTCGTCAATAACGAATATAATTAATTGTTATTAAACAAAAACATGAATAGCAAGGTTTATTCGCGTTGTATTGTTTGTTATTTTGCTTCATTCACGGATTTGATGCAATCTACCTACTCGAGGTTATATTAAACGATAAAGTGTGTGCAATCAATCTATTTCGAATTCTTATTAGAGAAATACTGGACAGAAAACATTTGGTCATGACAACAGTAGAGCAAACATTATAAATAGACGTTTGGTGACAATTAAATAGTTTTCTTCCTACAAACAAAATATATTACGAGAGAAATGCTTTGGATGCTATTATATATTTATTGTTAGTAATCTGTCTAGAGTATTCATCTCTATATGTCACAACAATCTGTTATCGTTCGTAGTTAGACGTATATTAATATTTTTTACTAGACATATTATATCCGATTTGTCGGTAATATCGGAAAGAAAATAACATTTGCATCATAAAACTAGAAGGTTTTGATTGTAAAAAGAAAATGAGCAGAAAATTAATTCTAAGTTTTAAATACGTTTTCTCTCCCGTTTATTCTAAATCTCTATAATTTATTTAATGAAAAATTTTAAAGGATATCAGTGCGACTTAGTTAAAAAACTTACCATCTTATTCATCCATAGTTTTTATCAATAACATGATAGTGAAGAATTTTCTAAAGAAGAATCTAAAGTGAAGAATTTTCGGACATATACTAGCCTATATATGACAATGGCAATAAGGTTTTGTGAAATAATAAAGAATCTGTCAGGTATAAGTTTAATATTTCATTCACATTCATTCATCAGCTGACGCGAACTCATTAACAAATGAAATCATTTTACAATGTTCACTTGCTCTCTCTCTACTTTTGTCATTACCAAATATTCAAATTATATTGCCTTGTAACAAGTCCACTCGAATAAGAGACGTTTAATACATTTTTTTTTAGTTAGATGACAAAACAAGGGGGTATGTACGAATAAATAAATGAGAAAAAAATCTTTGATCAAAACTTGAAAGATGATTTTATTTTAAAGGAAACAAAAGCTCGATTTACATTTTATACGTCTTAGTAATATATATTCACATGCTGTATATATATATATATACATACACATATATTGAAAGTTTATCTCATCTTTTGTCTGGTTTTCTTCTCTTTTCATTATGGTATATATCGTTTTTATACACTTTTTTATTCTATGTCACGGTTATTTCTTTAAGAAAAATTATTATCAATTATTATATTACATATTTCAGTTGTTTTTTTAACACCATTGTTTAATTTGTCATCAAGTGCGACAAAAACATCAAATAACCCTTAAGAAGTAGAAAAAAATATATATTTCATTGAATTTATTTTATTTTCAACATAGACAAATACTGTTTAGTCAAGCTTTGTGATCATTGAAAAAAAAAACAAACATAATGAATATACGTCGAACAATAATGCGACGAAGTAGTGGATATTATAGTTGTGGAGAACAGGTACATCACACATTTTCTCTCAATTTTTATCTTTCTTATCTTATTATTCTCTTTAAACATTGAGCAGATTTAAAATTCTCTCGTCAAATATTACCTTGAATTTTAGATTCTCTGATATAACTACAGAGTGTATCATTGGCCACGACAAAACACATGTAAATTGTGTGGTTTTTTCGACCTTTAGACTGCATAAAAAATTCCGAAAACAATAAAAAACTTTTGATCAATGAGTACGTACGTGATTACTTATGCGATAAACAGTTCGATTTTTGAAGACGTTCTACTTTATAAAAAAAACTTATGTCATGTACAAATGTAAAAACGCGATTGTGCATTTGTACATGTACACGGTATATTCTGTCAGTTAAAAATGTACAAAAAACGTTCAAAAACTAAAAGTATGACATCTGTTTTCTGTCAGTTTATATTTAAACAGAGTCGAATTGGCAGATAAACAACACTCTTATATAATTTCTAATTTCAATCCTAAAATTTTTATTGAAAATTATCTAATCCTGCACGATCTATGAATCTAAAAACTAAAATGATCTTTTGAACCACGTTGAGTAATTTTCCAACTTTTGTAGGATCTTTCAATAAAAATAAATTGATAATTAGGAAAAAATGATTCTACTAAAATATGTTGCTTAACTGTAACCTTCTTCAAATTCTTTTTTTCATGGGCGTCATTGAAAGATGCTATTATGGCTAAATGAACGACTAAGAACAAAAGACTAAATAATGTCACGATTTTAGAAGGTTTCAAACTGTAATACCCAATGTCAACACTTTCCACATTTCTTTTACAAGATCTGTATATTTAATATCTTACAGTAGCTAGAATAAGTTAATTGTACCTTGTTTCTTTCACAATTGACCGATTTTCATTAAATTTTTTATAAAAACATTTTCATTATATTTTAAATAAAATAATTCTCACAAATAGAAAACTCTTTTCATTTCTAATTTTAGTACTGTCTGACACTTTTGGATGTCTTATGGTAGTCTTCTAATAATACTACATACTATGACAGAACATCACTATAGAAAACATAAAAATATACTTAATTTTAAATTTTTCTTTTATAAAATAGTCGACTAACATTACAAATATGAAGATATTCTTTCTCAATTAATGTCACACATCACCTAATATTACAAAAAGAATTTAGTTAGATTTTATAGCGTAAAACTTTATAAAACGGTTAGTGTAAACATCATTTCATGTTTTTTACATCATAATACTGACAAGTTGGATTTTTCAGGGAGTTTTAAGTAATCAAAAGTTTTATATTGAGTTAATTTCTACTAGTGAATATTGACAAATTAAATATATATTTTCATTGATCAACAATTTTTTTGTTTGTTTTATTTCATGTTATGCAAATATGCAATGCATCTAACAATTATTATCGACATTTCTCAGTCACAAGTAGATTTTATGTAAATATTATATATGCGTTCGTTCTTTCATTATTGTTGTTTTTCTTTTCTGTTTTTTTTTTGTATAGAACATAGTTTAGCCCATCACATTTATTTTTTACATTTTGCAGTTGCATTATAGATTGAAAAACCTTATTAACATTCTTTTCTGAGTCGTAACAAGAATTTTAATAATACATTACCTGTTTTTATCGAGAGCAAAATAAAATAAAATGAATTAAATTAGCCTTTTGACGACACACACATGCACACACACACACACGTTAGAACACTCATTTTTATCAATTCTCTATCTAATCTAGATAGTCTACATTATTTCTAATGTGATAGTCAACATTTTTCTGACAATGACCTTTCCAAAAATAAAAATACTAACAAAATAGAGAGAATTCTTTAATATTGTAAAAATAAAAAGTGTTCATCTACTGTAGGTTTTCCTTTTATAATCTTAAAAGATGTTTGTTCATCAAAATCCAGACAAAAAAAAAATAAAAAACATCTGTTTATTTAAGATTTAATCTATTCTGTCTTATGAATGATATGTCGCATTTTATAACTCATCACATACGGTCTTCATTTTCTATATTTTGAAATTATTTCCCATACATAAATCGACAGTTTTTAATTTCTTTTTATAACAACAGAGAACAAAAAAAAAAAAGAAGAGAACATACAAAAAAAAATAAAAAGATCTAGTACTTTGTACTAATGAAGTTCGCAAATGTTTTCTTCGTTTTTTTGTTTTTAATGTTTTTTGTTTTTGCACTCAAATATAAAACAAAAAATTGTTTTTTTTTTTTTTTTTTTTTTGTTTTATGTGCTACATTATTTTAGACTTTTTGTTTCTCAACATAACTAAGACCACGAGGTATATAAAACAGAAAACAGGATGATGAAAAAACAAATATATGATACGAAATGAAATGAAAAGTCAAGAATTCAATTTACTAACGGTAATACAATGAATAGATTTTATATTTATTTTATTTTGATTTCTTTTTCAAAAGTCAGTGGTATATCTCTAATTAATTATTATTTTAGTAAAATAATTATCGACTAACAATAGTTAATTTAAAAATATATATTTTAATATTAAATATAAAAGAAACGAAAAATATATCTACATAATAGTAAAATAAGAAAAAAGAAGAAAACTTTTTTCGTGAAAAAAGTGAAATATAAGTTTTTGGATTCATCAAGAATAAACCACTCAATCAAAAAATATATAATGTTTTTTGTCTTTTCAAATGTTTATGTTGTGTGACGGTCTGTAGTAAACGTAAGTATCAATGATTGATCCTTTACATTTTCAATTTAAAATACCCAGTTTATTGTAATTTTTGTACATATCTAACAGCATCATCATTATTACAGAATTTTTTAAAGTATTTACATTATATAAGATAATTGATCATTATTCTATTGATCTTTTGATGGGAAAAAAACAGATTTTGTTATTGAAGAGTAACACTCTCTTTATCGCTTCAGTGATCGAGCCAACCTTGTATAGAATAAATTAATTAAGAGTTACAATCAAAAAGAAAGAGATGGTATAGATTTGAAAAATCTTCTAATTCTTGTAATGTTCATTTTTTAGCAATTCAATTTCTCATGATATTGTTGTTTTATAGAGAGATAAAAATAAGACGAATATAGTGTCGCCGCTATCTATCATTTTGACGAATATCTATCTTATATAGTTATAAGCACGTTTAAGTCTAACACAATAAAGTTCGTGTTTTTCATCCGATTGTACTTCTTCTCTTTTTTTTTCACAAAATTCTTAAACATTAATTTTAGTATTATACGCGAGTACATAGTCTTGTCACAAATAGAGGGTGTGTAAATACGATCAATAAAAAAATGTATGAATGAAAAGAAGAAAAATATGAGAGGGAAGAGTGTCGAATATAAACTGATTGTATAGAATGAAGAACGAAAGAAAATAAAAATATGATTCGCGTAGTGACGTCTATATTTCTTCTTTTTTTTTGCTTTCCAAACAGCTGTGTTATTTAGTACTAACTATATTTTTATGTGTTGAAAGCATGCCTTACATTATTCAGTACATAGTGTTATCGACTTATTTTTCTGCTATATTTTCGAACAATTATTCAAATATCTTGTTTTCCTTCTAATGCCAAATTATCACAACTAAGATTAATTTATTACCTCTTCCAGTGAAAAAACAAAACATAAAAAAGTTTTCACTTTAGTTTTACTACAATTTTTGTTCTAAACAGAAAAATGATTAGAAAAAGTGATGTTGATGATATTGATCTATCTTCAATTAACTGAAAATACACTAGAATGATTAATGAAACTGTTGAATCTATTATTCTGAATCCAGATAATAATGAAAAAGTATTAACAGTAACAAATAATAATTTATTATATGACGGAAATAAAAATCAACTAGTGGACGAGGTATAAAATATTTATTATTGAATTTTATTTTATCTTTATTTTATTTATTTTTTTTTTACATAATGTTGATCATGATCTGATTTTTTCTAGTTTCCATTCTAGGTTAAAGATGGTAGTGAAGCGACAAATAGTGAAAGCAATAAACATAGTACACATCATCCAACAAGTCCAAGTAATACAACTGAAGATGAGGAGGAAGAAGAGGATGTTCCATTTGTTGAGGAAAGTCCTGGTTCACGATGGCAAAAACGACGTGAAACAGTAAGATTATTTCAATGATGTTAAAAAAAAAAATAAACATTTAATTTAAAATCATTGCTTGCTATTTTTTTGTTTTGTTTTTTTGTCTTCTGTTGACTAGGTGGCACAACGAGATATTCCTGGCATAGATGCATCGTATTTAGCAATGGATACAGAAGAAGGCGTTGAAGTTGTTTGGAATGAAGTATTATTTTCTGAAAAAAAAATTAGTCCAACGCAACAGGTTTGCCACATTTTTCTTCTTCAACTTTATGCGTTAATGAACAGTAGATAAATTTATTTTTTTAGTATAAAGTAAATGAAGTATTTAGTAAATTAATTGAGTTAAATCATCAGAATATTGTAAAATTTCATGGCTATTGGCAAGATCGTACAAAAATAGAAGATAAACCACGAGTAAATTTTTTTAAAAAATAAAAAATAAATACATTTAAATCTTTTTTTTTATATATTTTTTAAAAGGTTGTTTTTATTACCGAATATATGTCAAGTGGTTCATTAAAACTTTTTTTAAGAAAAACAAAACGTACAAAACAAGGCATAAGCAGAAATTCTTGGCGAAGATGGTGTATACAGTTATTATCAGCATTAAAGTAAAATATAAATACAACTATTACATTAAATCAGAAATAGAGAGAAAAATAAAAAAGTTTTTTAAATAAAATAGTTGAAAAGAACTAGAATATGCATGAACAACGATTAAATAGACGTTTTCTTTTCGTTTATTTTAGTTATCTTCATTCTTGTCAACAACCCATTATTCATGGAAACTTAACATGTGATACAATATTTATTCAAAATACAGGCTTGGTTAAAATCGGTTCAAGTAAGATAATTATATTTGTTGTCTTCTAAATATTGAGTAGTTTTCACATATAATGAAAACTTAGAAAAAAAAAGCGGAGAGATACAAATTTTTCAACGATAGTCCTTATTTTATTATAGTTCATTATCTTCAATTGAAGGCATTTGAAACACTTGGTCTTGGTAGGTGAGATGTGGCGCCTGTGCCAACATCCTTTTCGTGAAATTTCTCTACTTAAAAAGAAATAATAAAAATTTTTTTTTTTTTAACTTGTTTGTTGTATAAATTTTTGCTACTCTTTTCTTTTTTCGTTTCTGCATCTTTTCCTTGATTATGCTTTATTGTCCACTTTTCTTTGCCTAAATCCTCACGCGTTGATCAAAAATAAAAAATAACGACCTGCTACGCGTGTCATGAAAAAAATAAATATTTTTCTTAACGATCTATCTACACTTGCTCAGTTAACTATTAAAAGTGCTGTTTTGTTTTTGTGCACGTGTATGATGTTTTATTATTTATGTTTATACTTTTTTTTGAACTTTAGTCGCACCAGATGTTCTACACCATCATGTTAAAAGTATACCAGATTCTACGGCAAAAAACTTACATTTTCAAGCACCAGAAATGGCTGTGGGTAAGTAATATGTTTTTATTCTTTTTATTTGTTAGTATCTTCTTGATTTAGCGAATGTAAGAGAGTATTATCAATTTTTTTAAAGAGAAAAAAATAAGTTTTTCTTTTTTATCGTTTAGAATCAAGTCCAATAACGACTGCTGTGGATATTTATTCATTGGGTATGGTCACACTTGAGGTATGTTTACTAAATCACAGTATTTGAGTTTTATACTCTTAGATTTTCTTCCTATTCATAGATGATCAATCTAGATTTAGGCGGTAATGGCGATACACACGCTATTACAGAGGAAGTTGTGAATGAAGCTTTAGAATCATTAGAAGATCCAGTTCAGAAGGTAATAAAATCTTACACAAAGAGACTTTTACAATATACTTTCTCTTATTTTTATTAAAGGATTTAGTATTACAATGTTTATGCAGTGATCCAATAAAACGGCCAACAGCACGTGAATTATTATTCCATCCAGCATTATTTGAAATACCTTCACTTAAACTTTTAGCTGTACATTCGTTAGTCGACGATTTAAGTATGTATGATAAGTTAACTCATGAAATCTTTCGTTTATCCTGTATTTGTTCTACTTTCAGGGGGAAAGCCAGATCGTTCTATGTCATCCACGATACAAGCATCGGGCGATAAAATATTTGCCGAAATTCTCCATAAAGATGGATCAAAACCAACTGTTGTTACGTGAGTGTACAACGAACTCTTACAATATACCTGTACGTGTTATTCTTTATTTTGTATTTAGTTTGAAAGACTGTCCCTCGTTTGAATTAGATAAACTTCTTGAAGATGTTCAAAATGGTTTATATCCATTAACAGCATACAGTTTATTATTTCCAAGAAAACGTTCTTCAACGGTGGAAAACATCAGTTTTCATACTAATCTAGTTAGTTCAAACAATATGCCGAATACGAATTCAAATCCAGATATAATCAACACGTCAACAGCAAATAAAGCACGTGGGGGAAATACCATTGAGCGTTCATTATCATCAGTGAATGATGGTGATCATCAAATGCCATCGATGACATCACTATCAAATTCATCAACAGAAACGACAAAAACACAGGTACCCATTGATTTCGACAAGGAAAATCGTCGAATTATTGATATACAGTGTAAATTGAAAATAAAAGATACTGGATTATGCTTGGTAGGCTATTATTTATTGTTTTTATTGTTTATCCTATGAAAATTTTGTATTCATTTAGTTATTCATTAGTGTTAAATTCCAAGATCGTTTACAACGTGATATGACAGCGGAAATAGATCAAGATGAAACACCAGACGTTATTGCCAAAGAATTGCTTGAGCTTGGACTTATTCATGAAGTAAGAAGTTATTTGGAAAAAATGACGGAAGTGTGAGACATATTTGAGTGAAGTATAGTTATTAAAGTTTTAATCATACGATAAAAAATTCTTTTTTTACCAATAAGCACAGTTGAATTTCTTAGTTTTTTTTGATCTTTTGATAAGATATTTTTTGTTCGTATTGAATAGTTTGTTCGTCTGCTAAATCCATAGTTACTGTCTTGTTCATAAGTGTAAGAGAAAGAAAATTCTCAACAATCTACTATGTTGCTCATATATGAATGTTTTCTCTTTTATTTTTCAGAGTGATTATGCACGTGTAGAACAATCGATTATAAGAACTTTAAGTACTACTCAACGTAGTAATGGAACAGGAGGTGATACAAATACTATGGCAAATGGTGTAACGCTAGATGGTACTACTGCTACAGGTCATGCACTACAATCGGTACAACTGAACACAAACGGACCAGTCGATAGAGATACCACAAATTCTTTGAACTCCCCGTCAGTCGTTTTTCTTCCGCCTTAAAATAGACATTTTTTATTCTTTTTCAACAGCTTACCTCGTAATTGTATTTTATCTCGAAATTTGATTGCGACCTCATTACAATGTATTTAAATAATGTATGGTGCTTCCTCTTTTCTTCGTTTTTGTTGTACATATATTTTAAAGACCATGCGTACATATATATATATAATCGATCGTCAAAAATTTGTTATTGTTGTTATCTCGCTAAGCGTCATTTTTCTGTTTTTTTACCAGTTAATTTATTATCGTTATAACATTTATTGGTAGACAAAAAAAACCGATAGAACGAGTGATTGTGAAATAAAGTGACTTCTCTCAAAGATGTATGTGTTTGCGTGTTTTCTAAGATGTTTTTTTTTATTTTTTGCACTCCCCTGTTGTTATTGAGAACAAAAGAGATCTAGATATGTTTCGCTTTATAGTAATGTTTTTTTTTTTCTTAAAAATCGATGTCTTATTTTCTTTGTTATACTATATCTATTTTTTGTCTTATTTTTCGTTAAAAGTGTTGATAAAATAACAAAAATATATTAGACGTGAACAATAGTTCGCAAAAAAATTATATTTATTTAAAGAATTAAATCCTCCATGATTTCCCTTTGATGTTCACATCGTAGGTTATGAACAAAGTTGTAATAAAAATAGTTTAACACGTACAGTCAATGCAGCTGGACAAAATAAACTTTTTCTTCTCGAAGTTTACTTTTAGAATGAACATTCATATTGTACACTCTTCATACGGTTTAGCCTCGATTCCTCCCTAATTGTTCCACGCACTTATTTGATGTGGCACTTGATGCTTTACAAACCAACCAGATACGAATCGGATGGACATCCATTATGTAAATCATACTTAGTCTAAGTAGTATGCCGATCCTGAAAATTCTACGTTATATTAAAATAAATTTCAATGTATGAGTGTGAACATACGTATTGTTTAGTTTCTATCGATTTGAGCGTGATGCATTTGGTCGCAATGACTGAAGTATTCGATAGAAGGGATAATTAACAAAGAAGAGTCATACTCTATACTTCTGTCACAACTCCCTACTGCGAAAATCGGAGAATACCAAGAGCCAAGATCGAAAACATGCATAACTGCACGATTTCTAGAAGTCAAATACTAAAAAGTTTTCGAAAAAAGTGGCTTTTTCGTATTAGAAGGCCATGATCTTCTAATATAGATTTTACAGAATTGTCTCAGAGGTGGCCTTCTATTTTGGAGGGGGGGGAGTTGTAAACTATTTAAAAAGGTATTTATAGAAGCTCTATTTCGTTTCGTATGCATATATATTTGATGATAAAACAGAACAATTTTTTACACAAAGATCGTAAATAAAATATAGTTATACACACTTCCTACGAATTGATTAGACTCATGTCAGGCAAGAGAGAGGCAAAAATAAATTATTAAGATTACGTATGACAAAAGTTCTTGAAGATTGCCCAAAACTGTCGAAATTTAGTGGTGGTGAGCGTACTTACCGCTAGGACCCAAAGGATTAAATTCAAGGGGGAAACAGCAGACTCTTGGACTCTAGGAGTCTATTAGAGTCCCATGGAGTCCAATCTACAAAAACAAATGTTTGATGGAGTATTATCTGGATCGAGACCGTTGACAAAATGTGCGTTTGCAGTAGTCTATTTTTATTTAATTTAAGAACGTTTTCGATTCTTCTTCAATTAAATGAATAAAAAATGTATCTGTATGTAACAAACGAGTCATAATAAAGGAACTACGGACAATGTTATTAGAGATATTGTATTAATTGTTGATGCATAGTAATAGGTTTTCATACAATAGCAACACTTCTACGAACTTCTAGACTTCAGGAGTCCATTGGAGTCCAGGAGTCTGCTGTTTCCCCCTTAGTTAAATTGCAGTTTGAAGATACATATTAATGGCCTATCTCATCGCATACTAACGATATCATGACAAAATGAAGGAAAGTAGGTTACAGATCAGTGATAGAATTGGTTTGGTCGCAAACGAAACTGAAGCGGTTGAACTTTTCGAAAATTGGTTCGGTTTGAACGACTTTTTCCTGAAGGACGTGTAAGAATGAAAATGGTTTGAGAACAAATATATAATTTTTTGCTGGATGAAATCATCGTAATAAACGTAAATAGAAACCAGTGATATATATTTCTAAATTGACCACGAATAGAATCAACAGAATGGATCTTCATTAAACAGTTGTAATTGATCTACACGAGAAACAAAATCCAAAAAGATCGTGATGGAATTCCATTCCGATAGCAGAGTTAGCCAGCCAAGCCGATAGAGAAATTTTCTGAAAATAATCTTGATTTTTCCGCTTTCTTTTAATGTACCAACTTTAAAAAGTTTCTGGGCTTAAGCATTTTTGATATAGACTTCTCTCACTGTTTCATATTAAAAGCAGCAAGTACGATAAACCTATTTTTTGGCACCATTTTATTGTTTCAAAAAAAGTAAAGTGGAAACTAGAATCTATTGCGGCACTTCTTGAAGAAACGTTCCATTTTTTAATGCAAAAATGAATTTAAATCAATTTTTTTTGCAATTCTTACGAAAAAATATGTCGTATCTAATTTTTAAATGATATATTTAAAGCCATTCTCAGCAACATGTTCAAACAATCCATTTGAATTCATTTCTTTCTCAATTTTCGTTTTTTGCAAACATCTACTTAACACTAGAATGCCCGGAAATTATCATGACCTAGACCGCCCAAAGCGGTCATATTATTACTGTGCTAAACATCAAAGATGAATCTTAAAAATGAATATACAATCTTGTAGTGTAGCGAATTAAATTGTCTATCGTTTTGTATAGTACGGAATTTTTTTTCCTGAAACGATAGTATTGTATGCAGTTTGTTTTATTAGGGATAAAAATCAAAAAACGGTCAAAATGACTGCTACAGGCGTTCTAGTGTTAAATACATTGTGGAAAACAAAAATAAATCTAAATTAGTCATGCAGGCTTCAGACTGAAATCCATTGAAATATAAATTTTCTTGGTTATCAATTTTTTTGATTCCCAAAAAAGTGACTGATCCCCAAATTTATTAACAATGAAATGATCCCCAAAAAATAAGACTTTTGATCCCCAAATCGATTAAAGAAATTTAAATTAAAGAAAATATATACAAGAAGAATATATAGAAATTTAATATATAGCAAAATTAATTAGTAGACAGTATATAGAAGAAGAATATGTATACAAGAAAAGCCCTAAATTCATTTTTCCATTTTCTTTCTGTAGCCCTGAGGTGACAACGAACATTTAAGGCTTTTCCTGTAAACTCTATAACTTTGCAAAGAAAGGTCGTGTAGAGCTGAGAGTCACTTTTATCAGAATTTCGCGGGCTACAATGCTGCCTTATTTAGAAAAGGTTTTGGGGATTTTTCGAGGTTTCTGGAAAACTGATTTTCCAGAAATCGACTAGGAAAGGCCTATGAACTCAATAACAACAAATAAAACAAATAAAAATAAACTCAAGTTAACAAATGATTTTTGTTAAAAATAAATCTATTTAAGTGGATACTTTTGAAATATATCTGAATGCATTTTGAGCCGACGTTGTTCTTGAAATCTATTCACAAGTCTTCTTATCACAAAATACATTTAAGGAACTGTAGAAAAAGAAACGTCAAAATTGGTTTCGTTTAAAAACACATTTGAACGGATTTAGAATGCAAAAGACACTTAAATGCATTTTATTACAAATTCAATCAAATGTCTTGATTTGAAAATGTCTAAACCGTGATGTGCGAATGATTTGAAGAAATTAATTGATTAAACCACTTTTGACTTTTTCTCTCAAGTGGACGAACATTCTTCTTTTATACAACATTATGTGTCATTCTTCCAGATCATTCTCCTTCAGTTCTTATTCTTATATGTATACTTAAATTGTTGTTAAGTTTAGGTCAAAGTTATTGAAACAGATTTATTTTTAACTATATGCAAATCTTTAGCTCTAAGTTTTTTGTGCCCGGAATTAAGACAGATTTGTGCCCGTTTATGATTTTTTGTTCTCGGCCCGGGTACAAAAAAATCTTTTTACCATTTTGTGCCCGGAGACAGATGTTCGGATTTGATTGATTTATGCTCGGTTTGTGTGCGAGAAAATTTAATAGTAGAACTAGAGATGAACATAAGTTATCCTGACAGATATCGCTTGTGACATACGTAACTTAAAGTCCATTTGAACGAAGATGTTTTGTGCCCAGAATTAAGACAGATTTGTATCCGTTTAAGATAATCATTGGATCATCCTAGTTCAAATATAGTCCTATAACTGAATTCAAAAAGAAACTTTCAACTAAAACTTACTTTAAACCATGGCTCGGAGGGAGTGGATTTTGTAGAAGAATTTTCTGATGAGAATATGAAATCATCATAAAGTAAAATAATGTTTCAATAAAACGGAACCGAAACACTAGTTCTTGGAAACGACGCGAAAGACCAAGAAAAGTAGGAAATGCATTGTTGTATTCATTCTAAATCCGTTCAAATGTGTTTTTAAACGAAACCAATTTTGACGTTTCTTTTTCTACAGTTCCTTAAATGTATTTTGTGATAAGAAGACTTGTGAATAGATTTCAAGAACAACGTCGGCTCAAAATGCATTCAGATATATTTCAAAAGTATCCACTTAAATAGATTTATTTTTAACAAAAATCATTTGTTAACTCCGTTCCATCAGTCGGATTTTGTTCAATGGGAATCAACAATGAATCAATTAGTAGATTTTGTACATATGCTTATGGAGAATTTAGAGACAATGTTAACTTCACTCTCGTTATTTTTCTTTTAATTCTGCAATGGCGTTTGATAAAGTCGGAAATTTACCGCACACATTGAACAAAACGGAGCATGTCACTTGAATTGCTAACGAGGGAACCTCCCCAAATGTACTCTCGTTCTTTTAACGAAATGTAGTGGGTTGTAGGTAATCGACCATGCTGATTTCGAATATGCTATTCATTTGAGTTCATAGGCCTTTCCTAGTCGATTTCTGGAAAATCATTTTTCCGGAAACCTCGAAAAATCCCCAAAACCTTTTCTAAATAAGACAGCATTGTAGCCCGCGAAATTC